GCTAGCAGCAAGACTAGAGAAGCCAGAAATCTGCACATTGCAAGGGTGCCTAGAGCAATGGTTCCCCCCAGTCGATGTGTGAGGTGTGCACAAAAATTTCGGAATAGTGCGGCAAATAGGTAGGAGCCATGACACTGCAAGACTTGGATATTTGCTTAAAGCGGCACTGTCATGCCGAACTTACCTTTCCTCAATCTCTTCCTCTTCTCCCCCTCTCTCAGGATCTGTTATTCTTTTCTTCCTGTCTTCTTTAGTTTTCTTTAAAATCATAAGACAAAGTAGGGACTCTTTGCCTTATGGAGGATTCCTCCGCTTGACCAGCTCTGACCAGCTGAGGAGCAAAGTGTGCTTCATTTCCGCTGGTCAGAGCAATTTTCCCATGATCCTTACCTTCCCTCTGTGTTCCCACGATGCTTCCTGTCATTTTACATGAAACTGCCGAATTGCGTTCTAACTGAATGAGAACAGTCTGTTCGTTTCTCTTAGAACGCAATTCGGCACTTTATTCGGATCGGAGTTTCATTCTAATGAATGAAACTCTGATCCTATTCATTGCTGTGGCTGCATCTTGCAGCCGCTTAGTAGATAACTCCCTAATTCCCACGGTATCAGGGAGTTATCTACTAAAAGGCTGAAAGACCTAAATTGGTCTTTCAGCCAAATTTACTAATACTAAGTAAAGATTACTTAGTATTAGTAAATTAAATGCCCCTACTCGCTATACCGCGAGTAGGGGCATGTGTAGTAAGCAGTGAGCAGCTTATAGCTGCTCACTGTAAAAATAATACCCCCCCCCATGCCCGTGGGGGCCCTAAATAAAGATGGGGGACCTGGCCCCTGGCCCCCACCCCTGAGCGGTGGGTGGGGGCCCTAAATAAAGATATGGGGAACTTCTGGCCCCTGGCACCTGCGCGTGGGTGGGGGGGCCTAAACAATAGGGGGGACCTACTGTCTCTCCCCCAGGCCCCCACCCCTGGGTGGGTGGGGGCCCTAATAAAACAATAAGGGGGGACCTACTGTCCTCCCCCTGGCCCACCCCCTGAGCAGTGGGTGGGGCCCCAATAAAACAATAAGGGGGGGACCTACTGTCTCTCGCCCGACCCTGAGCGTGTGGGTGGGGGCCCTAAATAAAGATATGGGGAACTTCTGCCCCCCCCTGGCCCCCACCCCTGAGCGGTGGTGGGTGGGGGCCCCAGTAAAACAATAAGGGGGGGACCTACACAGGCTGCTCACTGTTTAGTAGACATGCCCCTACTCGCGGTATAGCGAGTAGGGGCATTTGGGAGATTTTAATCTCCCTTGTGCTATTATGGGGGTCATATTGACCCCCATAGAGTGAGAGGGGGTACTGGGGGGGCTTATGAAGTGGTGGGGAGCACTGCTCCCTGCCGCTTCTATCTTTACATATTACAAGGAGGGAGGTGCACGCCGGTAGCTCCCTCCCTGTAATAAGCTGCACGAACAAACATACACTGATACATTGTGTTTGTTTGTTCGGCTGATATTTCTATTCACTCATTCGTCTGTCTGATGAATGAGTGAATAGATGAAATTCCCGTTCGCATGTCCAGGTGTTTCACTGGGCATGTGCGGGAATCTCAGTGTCTGCCTAGTGTGGGCTGATGACGTGTCCCACAGGGACTTCACCTACCCACACAAAGATGGCGGCGCCCTGAATCAAGATCGGGGCAGAAAATAAGGATTAAAAAATAGGTAATGTGGGGGGCATAGGGGCATTTGGGGGTGACTAGTGGGTCAATTGGATGTAGTGGAGGCTGGAGGGGGGTTAAAAAAAAAACGAGATTCGGCATGACAGTGCCGCTTTAAGGCTGAACTGCGATTTGGACAAACTCAAGATGATGAAATGCTTGGCCAAAATTTTGATTTCTGAGCTGCCACATGCCAGAATCTTAGGGCAAGTAACTTACACAAGCCTGAATGCTTGGTTCAGTTCTTTAATCCTGGTGTCCTTCCTGACCCAAGAAAAAAGAGGGGTGGAATGACAAAGTGGCTGTTTTTTTGGGTGGGGGCACACTTAGTTAACCAACTTGAACAAAGGCTCTGCCCAATCATGTGGGTTGCATCTCCTGTCCAGTCAAGTCAAGAGAAAAAAAAAAAAAAGGATGATAGGGGACAGCCACTAAATGTTCATTTTATTCACAGATCAACTGGCAACTGACCAATAGTGGGAAAAAGGAGAAGAAGCAAAACAATATATACTTCCAAGCAGATTTCGTCTACACACTTAGATTAGCAGCAATACAGTGTGTTTCTCATTTGCTGTGCCTGTGTGGCAACAGGATAAAGCCTGCATCATTGATTCTAGTGCAAAACTTGGCTTAGCTTGCAGATATATAAGCTACTGTCAGGGGCACTTTGTCATTGATCCCAGTGTGAAATTATGTTACCAATACACACTTGTTAAAAGTTAGTTTTTTTTGTTTGTTTTGTTTGGAGAAAGAAAACCATTCTTTTGGGAAGTATAGTGTGTTCAATAACAAAGAACAACAGCCTGGCCATTAATTCTAGTATGAAACTAGATTTAGCGTACATCTGTATGTAGCTATGAGCTACAACTTTGAGTTGGAAATAAGTGAATGACATTTTTTCATTGATACTATTGTGAAACCAATTATGTTAAAAGTTTATTTATTTTTATTTATTTTTTTGTTAACTGTCAAGAGGAATAAAAACCTTTTTTTTTTAGGGAGCGTGGCATGTTTAATAATAAAGTTCTTCTTGCCTAGCCGGATTCATGGTTTCATTGATTCTAGCATAAGGCTAGCATTAAAAAAAAACAACAACAAAGAATTATGAGGAGTATCCCCTTTATTATGGTGTCCAGTGTTTGACTAAACAGAGGTGGATGCTCATACTTTCTCCACAAAACACACACAAAAAAAAATAATAATAATAATAATATATATATATATATTTATATATATATATATATATATATATATATATATATATATATCTGTAGGTCTCTAAATCCTATGAAATTAAAATCCTATCCTTTTCAGCCTCTAATAACTGATACTACACAGCTCTACATATATCTCCATACCATATAAATAAGGAATACCTTATACCTTCAAAAGTAAGCTGTATGTAAAGCGTTTCTTAGGTTTCGATGTACAGCACCACTGTTTGATGTTACAAGGGCGCCATCTAGTGATCATAATAGAAAATGCTCCATTCACTTTTGAGAAAGTTTTGGCAAAACGCATCAAGTGAAGAGTGAGGATTACAATAGAGGATTGTTTTTATTTAGTTCCTTTTTTACTTATATTTTACTCTGTATTTAAAAATAAAAGTAATATTTTATCGATATATAGCCATTTTTGTACCTCACATCAAGACTACTTTGCTTCTATTCCGGGTTCACGTACATCCGTAGGTGGGGATTGTTCCACCTAAAGCTCCATACACTCCATACAGGTCATTGCTCCAGTTGATGTAAGTAGGTTTATCCTTTCTCTACCTATTGTGTACTTACATACATCACCATTGGGTTTATTCTTTTCTTTCACATATGATGCTCTCCATCCACTTGGAAGTAACATTGCGCTGGTATCCATAAAGAAATCCATAGACAGGGATTATTCCATACAGGCCCCATAAATAGAGCTTATATAGCTCTATAAAGTGTGAGTGTTCCTTTGGCACTATAAAAATATCCACATCACTACTATTATATATTGCACTATTATTGTGTCTTTTCTATTTTTTAAGATATACACCCTGGATTTGTACTCCATCTCCTGACGTATGTAACCTGTATATCTAGCGCTGTTCGACTCTTTGTTTTTATCTGTCTTTATCTGTTTTACACAAGGTTAAGTGAACACCTTGTTGGTGAATAGCAGATTTTATTGATCAGATAGAGAGGGCCTATTTTTGTTTTTTTGTAAGGAATAACCATGATGCTAAAGAAAGCTGCATCTGAAGCTTTTCTTATTTTTCTATGTACAGCACCACTTTTTGATGTTGCAAGGGTGACATCTAGCGATCATAATAGAAAATGCTCCCTTTATTAAGATTACTGTGATACATTGTTCACCAGAAGTTTATAACACTGTTATCTCTTATATAGACAATATTACTTTGTATTTATCTTTTGTCTCTAGTTGATTTCTATATAAACAGTTGAAAGACAGACATAGGTAGTATCAGGCATATTAGAAATTGTGGCTGAACCTACCGCCAATTTCGCATTCTTTGCCCTGGTTCGTGTGTTTTTCCCTTCGGGGGTTATTATATATGTAGTGGGATAGAGGACCTAACTACACTTTTATTCCCTTTGTTTGGCTGTCTGTACCCCCCTCCTTCATTTACCAAACCAACTTTGTGGGGTCCCCTTGTTCGCAAATCATGTTTAGGCTTGATTAGATGATTGTGCTTGTCCCATTCTAAATATGATAAAAATGAGGCTTGCTTATTAATCTGTTTGTAGGTATTAATGTCTCTTTTGGATATGATATTGGAACACAATGGTTGATCTTGAAAGCTAATGACCATTCATTTTAAAGGACTCCTTATCTAATAGGGAATCAAGACAAATGGCAAATGAGAGAGTTAGTTTATACTGAAACCAGACTTTCAGGTTACTTATGTGTGACTTCTCACACCTTACAGAGTAGCTGTTGGAGTCCCAGCTTCAAAGAGGAATTTAGGTTGTAAGCTCTGTGTGGCGAAACCAACCTTGCCACTTTACACTGGAGAAGCCTGGTTGCTCGCCTGCTGCCTTTGGACTATGGCCCCATGTTAAAAGACATCTTTTTTCCCTGCAGAAAAGAATTATTCGTGCTTTTCTGCCGGGTGTTCGGTAGATTTGTTTGAGTGTGTTGTGCCCCAGATAGGAATCCCATGGAGCCCATTCGCATGAAACTGACTGTGTTAAGACTTTGGCTCCATGGCGATTAAACTGTATTTGTGTGGTCTGAGCGCCATTCGCTTAATAATGTGCGCTCAGACCTGAGCTATCTGGGGATATGTAGAACATATATGTTTTATGTACTGAATGTAACTGTAGGTAATTTTATGTCTTTTACTGTTTGTTTTCTGCCATGTGGTTAATGGAGTTTTGCCTCTGTCTTTGGAGATAATTGAATTACTTCTCAATTATCTCCAGAGCAGAGAGGAGGGATTGTGATGCATTGTGGGATGGTTGAAATGTGTAAGTCTGTGATTGGTCCTTTTACCCTTTGTGTCCCAGTCTCCCATTTGGTCCCCTAGGGAGTGTCCACCAGGTGGGAGACCTGCATAAAAGCCGGGCAGTTAGCCCCAGTAAATCAGTTCCTGCTTAACCCTCAAAGTGAAGTGTCGTCTCATTATTGGGGGAGGATTTACTGTATGCTGTTAGAGACTGATTGCCAGGAGTGTAAGCCGCTTGGGGGCTTTTCCTGTTCATCTGCTAGCAACTATTCGTGTGTCTCCAGTTTGGGAGTTTCGAGTATTACCTTGGTATGCAGTTCGGGAGTTTCGAGTATTTCCTTGGTTGCAGTTCGGGAGTTGGTGAATTCGTGGGTTTGCAGTTCAGGAGATTGGTGCGTGCAGTAGCTGTTGGTGCAGCTGAAAAAGGGGAATATCGCCTAAACGGTTTTTAACCTCTTTTGGGCAAAACGGTCCGTTACAATTGGTGGCAAGCGACGGGATCATTTCCACAGCCCAGAAGGACAGCTATAATACAACACCAGTTCCTGGATTACAAATTGAGGGCAATGCCAGTACCCGTACAGCGACCCTATGTACAAAAGAACCAACTTCAGCAGCGCAAGCATGGCACCCAGCTACACTCAGGAGCAGTATGACAGAGAGTTTACCACGTGGCTGGCTTTCTTTGGACCCAACCCCCTGGAGAAATACGTGCAGTTCGTGAGGAGACAGGTAGAAGAGTACCTGCAGGTTGGAGCAGGGTGGACATGTGAGTTGGCAGGTTGGGAAAGACCCCAGTGGCCGAGCAAGTTACAGAGAGAGAAGCGTGTCGTCCTTTCTCCCCAGCGGCAGTGTGTGTCCCAGGGAGCTGAAGGTGTCGTCCTTCCTCCCCAGCGGCAGTGTGTGTCCCAGGGAGCTGAAGGTGTCGTCCGTCCTCCCGAGCGGCCGTGTGTGTTCTTAGGAGAGGAGACAGTTGGTCCCTCTCCTCAGCAGTCAAGTGAGTCCCAGGGAGCCAAAGGTACCGTCCTCCCTCCCCAGCAGCAGGACAATATATTGAAAGGGGAGACAGTCGGTTCCCCTCTCCCCCAGCAGGGAGAGTGTCAGGGAGAAGAGCTTGTTGCCCTCCTCTCCATAGCGGCAGCGTAGCCCACCAAGGAGAGACATTAAGCTCCCCACCAGCGCAGATGGGACCGTGGTCTTTGCACCCAAGCTACAGGGAGCAAGGACGGCCGTTCCAGCTCCCCAGCGGCAGAGTATTCTACCAGGAGGGGAGAATACTTCCCAGCGGCGGCCTAGCCCACCAAGGGGAGATGAGAAGCCCCACAACTGTGCAGATGGGACCGTGGTCTCTGCACTTACAGCACAGGGGGTAGGGACAGTCGGTTTTGCCCCCCAGCAACAGGGTTGTTTAGCCAAAGGGGAGACAGTCGGTCTTCCCCTCCAGCAACCAGGCTCCAACCAGACTACTCCCGTGGTAGTGCTGGCACCAGGACAGAGTACCGCTGGACTCTGCCCACTCAGCAACCCACCCAGTCCGCTTACCAGTCACCCACACAGCCATGGTGAGGTGCCTGGACATGGACAACGTTCTCCTCTACCCAGGTGTAGTAACCAGTTCTTGTGGGTGGGCTGTATTAGTGATTGTGTTTTGTGGGTGGGCTGCTGGACTAACAAGGGCACTGACCGGCATGAGGTCAGATACCCTGTTAGTCTGATTGGTAAAGGGGAGAAGTGTGGCGAAACCAACCTCGCCACTGTACACTGGAGAAGCCTGGTTGCTCGCCTGCTGCCTTTGGACTATGGCCCCATGTTAAAAGACATCTTTTTTTCCTGCAGAAAAGACTTATTCGTGCTTTTCTGCCGGGTGTTCGGTAGATTTGTTTGAGTATGTTGTGCCCCAGATAGGAATCCCATGGAGCCCATTCGCATGAAACTGACTGTGTAAAGACTTTGGCTCCATGGCGATTAAACTGTATTCGTGTGGTCTGAGCGCCATTCGCTTAATAATGTGCGCTCAGACCTGAGCTATCTGGGGATATGTAGAACATATATGTTTTATGTACTGAATGTAACTGAAGGTAATTTTATGTCTTTTACTGTTTGTTTTCTGACATGTGGTTAATGGAGTTTTGCCTCTGTCTTTGGAGATAATTGAATTACTTCCCAAATTATCTCCAGGGCAGAGAGGAGGGATTGTGATGCATTGTGGGATGGTTGAAATGTGTAAGTCTGTGATTGGTCCTTTTACCCTTTGTGTCCCAGTCTCCCATTTGGTCCCCTAGGGGAGTGTCCACCAGGTGGGAGACCTGCATAAAAGCCGGGCAGTTAGCCCCAGTAAATCAGTTCCTGCTTAACCCTCAAAGTGAAGTGTCGTCTCATTATTGGGGGAGGATTTACTGTAAGCTGTTAGAGACTGATTGCCAGTAGTGATGTCGCGAACAGTTCGTGGCGAACTCCGGTCAGCTGACACATCCCTGCCAATCTCCGGCAGACCCTCCCTCCCAGACCCTCCCACCTCCGGGACAGCATCCATGTTGAAGCTACCTTTCGTATCATCACTTGTTCTTTTTTTGCCTTCCCACCTACTGCGCTCATGTAGTAGCTCTAAGGGAAATAAACCAATGAAGGGATCTGAGTGAAATTTCCGCAAAGTGTGCACTCAGATCCAAGCTATTCGGTGATATTACTTTTGTGGGGTTCCGAAGTTATGAAAATGCATCTTTGGGGTGTTTTAGAATATTGTATATTTTTCTGTAGAGGATCCTGGAGAAAAATCCCTGTTTTATTGTATGTGAGACCCCATGTAGGGGTCTGTGCATAAAAGCTGTGTGTGGCCAAAATAAAATCAGTTGACTCCCAGAACTATGTTTCGTCTGGAGGAATGGATGTCTGTATGCTTTAATGGTTCCAGAGTGGCTAAAGGAACAAATTAGCGGAGGTAATCAGTTGGGTTACCCGTGGTCTGCTACAGAGATATCCTTAGTTCCCAAATATAAGTTAGAGGCCTACAGCTACAGTTGCAAGAAAAAGTATGTGAACCGTTTGGAATGATATGGATTTCTGCACAAATTGGTCATAAAATGTGATCTGATCATCATCTAAGTCACAACAATAGACAATCACAGTCTGCTTAAACTAATAACACACAAAGAATGAAATGTTGCCATGTTTTTATTGAACACACCATGTAAACATTCACAGTGCAGGTGGAAAAGTATAGACTAATTACATCTCCAAGAGCTAATTGGAGTGAGATGTCAGCCAACTGGAGTCCAATCAATGAGATGAGATTGGAGGTGTTGGTTACAGCTGCTCTGCCCTATAAAAAACACACACCAGTTCTGGGTTTGCTTTTCACAAGAAGCATTGCCTGATGTGAATGATGCCTCGCACAAAAAAGCTCTACGATTAAGAATTGTTGACTTGCATAAAACTGGAAAGGGTTATAAAAGTATCTCCAAAAGCCTTGCTGTTCATCAGTCCACGGTGAGACAAATTGTCTATAAATGGAGAAAGTTCAGCACTGCTACTACTCTCCCTAGGAGTGGCCGTCCTGTAAAGATGACTGCAAGAGCACAGCGCAGACTGCTCAATGAGGTGAAGAAGAATCCTAGAGTGTCAGCTAAAGACTTACAAAAGTCACTGGCAAATGCTAACATCCCTGTTAGCGAATCTACAATACGTAAAACACTAAACAAGAATGGATTTCATGGGAGGATACCACAGAGGAAGCCACTGCTGTCCAAACAAAACATTGCTGCACATTTACAGTTTGCACAGGAGCACCTGGATGTTCTACAGCAGTACTGGCAAAATATTCTGTGGACAGATGAAACCAAAGTTGAGTTGTTTGGACAAAACAAACAACACTATATGGCGAAAAAAAGGCACAGAACACCAACATCAAAACCTCATCCCAGCTGTGAAGTATGGTGGTGGGGGCATCATGGTTTGAGGCTGCTTTGCTGCATCAGGGCCTGGACGGATTGCTATCATCGAAGGAAAAATTAATTCCCAAGTTTATCAAGACATTTTGCAGGAGAACTTAAGGCCATCTGTCTACCAGCTGAAGCTCAACGGAAGATGGATGTTGCAACAGGACAATGACCCAAAGCATAGAAGTAAATCAACAACAGAATGGCTTAAACAGAAGAAAATACGCCTTCTGAAGTGACCCAGTCAGAGTCCTGACCTCAACCCGATTGAGATGCTGTGGCTTGACCTCAAGAAAGCGATTCACACCAGACATCCCAAGAATATTGCTGAACTGAAACAGCTCTGTAAAGAGGAATGATCAAGAATTACTCCTGACCGTTGTGCACGTCTGATCTGCAACTACAGGAAACGCTTGGTTGAAGTTATTGCTGCCAAAGGAGGTTCAACCAGTTATTAAATCCAAGGGTTCACATACTTTTTCCACCTGCACTGTGAATATTTACATGGTGTGTTCAATAAAAACATGGCAACATTTCATTCTCTGTGTGTATTAGTTTAAGCAGACTGTGATTGTCTATTGTTGTGACTTAGATGATGATCAGATCACATGTTATGACCAATTAGTGCAGAAATCCATATCATTCCAAAGGGTTCACATACTTTTTCTTGCAACTGTATATACTTTCTCTACAAAACACAGGTTTTGTAGAGAAAGTATGAGGATCCCCCACAGTTTAGCCAAAAACTTGACACAATAATAAGGGAGATCCTCCTCACATTGTGTGAGCACTGTGCCATGTTTTTAACATCATACAAAATAACATCACAGTATTAAATCTACAATGCACACAACTACCTAATTTTGCTGGATAAATTTGTGTTAGGTTACACAATTCATAATCATTTATATCCATGATTTATTATAATATTACCAACAACCCCACAATCATTAATGATATCCAATAAGAAATTCAGGAAAGTTAGGGAAATGGGTAATATTTACATATGCACCATCAGCATTAGTGTCATGGCCTCTGAGGGACTGAACACCTCTTCCTAGATGATGAGGACTGCTGGCACCTCCATTAGAAATATTTAGCCTCAGGATAATGGAATTAGCAACATGCCCAATTAAATCTGATTCACCACTCAACAAGGCAACTTGATTTCTCTCAGCCTTGCCATGCTGTTATAACTTCTGCTGCCCCTTCCACTGGCACTGCAAGCTCCTTCTACCAGTTCAAGCATTATAGCTTATTAGTGCTCAGTGATCGTGTTGCCATTACCAGTTTTACCCCTATTTCCTATACTCACTGAAGAAACATCAAAACTTTTATAGGTATCATAATTTCCACTCCTTGTGGAATAGGTAGAGCAGAGTAGTCAAGTAGTGTCCCCAAAGTTGTTGGTGGTTAGTAATCAAGTTATGTTATTGTTACTCTTTACGCCGCCACTCTAGACATTTGTTTAAGTCTGTCCTAGCAGAATATCAAATATGATACATAGGAATTACAAGAGGAGAGTCCAAAGAGGAGAGGAGAGGCAGCAGTCAACTATTTTCTGACTCTACTGTGCACTTGTCACTTTGTCCATCTCTATATCAGAATCAACTAATTTCATGGAAACAGTTGGAGCATTATTACCTATCAATGCCAGAAGTAGCTCACCATGTGAGAACATTAATACTATCACCACTGGCCTTCCCATTAGCATTAATTAACAAAATGCTAGTGTAGAGGCTAGTGTTGTAAATAGCATACAATGATGCAATCCACCAGCATCTTTATTAGCCACAAGACCAAGAGTTCAGCCAAAGTGCAATGTGTAAATTGTGTGACAAGGAAGTGAGTGGGGATAGAATGCCAGCCATCACCCTAGTGACTGTATGAACCACCATCTTCAGACACCACAAGCCTGTATTACAAAGAAAAGAAGCAGAAAGAGAATGTTCTAGGGCAGACATCAGGTCCACCTGTGATCTTCAGATTCTGTGCAACCGACTATAACAATTGTTACCACTTCCACTTCTACCACTCTAAGGCAAAGCACAGCAAATGTTGGGCCTAGAACCTAGAGGGACAGAAATACCCCTATTCCACAATACCTCAGGGGTGTGTCCACCAGCCTACTCTAACATTTTGTTGAATTTCATACCATGGGCATATCAAAAGAACAGGCTAAAACTACCCACTCAACTGATTACTGTAGGGTGAGCTTACTTTTCTATGACAGTATGGGAGCCTTTTAAGCAGCTGATATAGGCTCTTGCTCTGCAATATGTGCTTCACTTGTCATTCACTTTCAGCATTAGTAGAGTCCCATTACTATGTCCCATTACTATGCTGTTAATGCATGCTACTTTCATAAGAGCAGTAGGTAAGATTGTAAGTTAGTGTGTGCACTTCACCACAGATTTATGGAGTGCTCCTAGTGGCAAGTCTGCCTTCCTCTCCTTGATGGCACACCGGGGACAGCCCATGTGGTCACAGTGAATGAGGTCCAAACTCACCAGAATGTCAGGCTGGAAGTGGATCTGTAGGGCAGCTGGGCTATTGTTCTCTCCTGCTACTTGCTAAAGTGATGAACAAAAAGGACACATCAGCAAATATCTTGCAGGCAATTGGAGGAATGGTTTCAAATTATTTTTGAGAGCAGACAGGTATCAACATGCATGTTGAGTTTATGGTCACTGATCGAGCTGCAACATGGCCAAAGCTCTTTAAGAAGGTTCCTTTGTAAGATGTTCACTGTTTGTAAGATATTCACTGTTCTGAAGAGGATTGTAGAGCTCTGTGATGAAGTACCCTTTACCACTTGCTTTTGGAGGAGCCTAATTGCCAGCCTCCTGCCTTATGACTATGGCCCTGGGGTGTATGACCCTTTAAAAACCTTATTTGGGGGGGCGGGGCCGGGCGGGGCCGGGCGGCCATGCCAGCAGGCTGCAAGTCAACATGGCTCTGGGGAAACTCGACGAATAATGGGTAAAAACCCATCAAAATCAGCATGGAACCCCCTGGAAGTGCGTGATACCTGACCCTGGAGTGTCCCGGTGTAGCTGGAGCACCTGATATCGGGTGGACCGGGTCCCGGTGAGACGCTCCGGGGCTGGGGAGACTGAGGCCTACCCGGGAAGGGAGCGGGGTGGACGGCCGCCGCCTCACCTTCCATCCCCGGCAAATACCGAGACCCATGACAAATCTGGGGCCCCCGGCCTCGCTTACCCCCCCTTTGGGCCGGCGGGGGTTATCCCGGCCCCCACCGGGCAGACACCACCACGGCAGTGCTTCTTGGTGACTAGCCACCGACAGCCACCACGCGGCCCCCACAAAATGGCCGACAGCAAGGCACCTATTCGGCACACCGCTGAGGGAAGCTCCCACACCACTCAGCCAGGGCAATGATCACCCATGGCATTTACCAGCAGTCATGAAGGGGCGACAGCGGAGACCTGCCATTCTCCTGAACAGTCACCCCACAAGCACACTTACACGCCAGCAAAGGACCCAACGCTTACCTGCACTGAGCGTGCTCCACTGGAGATCTCAAGACCCCAAGCGACCAGCTCATCACAGCGTTAGATACACCTGGGTACTGCGCCCATAAAACAACCTACCCGCACTCACACACCAGCTGGGTACACAGCCGAGGAGGTCCGCAGACACTTTAACCCACAGAGGGACCCACAGCTCCAAAGGACGCAGAGATGCTCTATGATGAATATCTGGGTGCCGGAGAAAAGGACACTGCTCAACACCATCCACAACTCTAAAGCGACAGGTACCCCAGCGCCATGTGACAGACAGCAATTAAGGCAAAAGCTGCTAGACCTGCTGCTAACAGCCCCACTCACAGAAACCCTGGTTGTGAACACATCCAAATGGACACATCTACTACCGACACTTAGTGCAGTTAACCACTTAATATGCCATAACCTGCCTGGTGGCAACTGTTTACCTTACCTGTGTAACCCTTCTTAGATAAGCTGTTAATACAGGTGAACATCAGTCTACTCACCTGCCTAATCGACCTTAGGTCTTAAGCTGAGCCCTGATAAGCACCTAGCCTAAAATAAGGGGGCAGCCCAAGCCAGGTCAGAACCTGCATTAGACCTAATCACTCTTATGAAGCGACATAAACAGACAAGCATTTATAGATAACTTTATCACATACATGTCTAGCGTAGAATGTTTAATACGTCTCCTAATGTTACAAAGCTTGTAATTTTACAGTTAACCAATAAGCCTGTTTAACCTTTAACGAATACTCGACTTGTATTAGCCTATTAGAATCATTCCAAATAGACAAAGCGGATTATCAATCTTACGTTTAACTATTAATATGCCTAAATACTTTAACATGGTATTTCATATACACAATGTTTCCTAGCCTGTTATATTCATTTCTTAACAAAAATGTGCAAATGTAAAAAACCACGAACATGTCTGCATGAACCTGCCTGTGTCTGCTGTCGTGGCTACATGGGCCTGCATGTAAAATCTTTTGCACCAAAAAATAAAGAATTTAAAAACAAACAAACAAACAAACAAAAAAAAAAACCTTATTTGGGGGGCGTGGCCTGGCAGCTCATGGACACAGACGTGTGAGCTGTTAGCTCCGACGAGGGTGCACAAAACGCAGCGATTTGACGAGTGTAAACCGCCCAGACCGACTTACAAAAAGATCACCTGAAAAGCCCAAACCACCATGTCCCAAAGAGCACAATTAAAAACGAAGTTGCGCCCGGCAGCCCTTCAAATATCAGCTCTAACTCCGCCGACCAGCAGAGCACAAGATGGCGCCGGAGGCCCTGACTCACCCACCGCATGTTCTGAAGAGAGTGATAGCACATCCATCTCACATAACAACGCAGCTCCTGCCTCAGAAACTGCTCTGCAACGCATGCTCCAAGAACTGCAGCAGAATCTTCAAAAGGAATTTGCCAAACTGGCCCGGGATGTCCGCGCGGATATTAAAGAGATAAGTGCACGCACCGCCATATTGGAGGATAAAACAGAGGAAATCATAGACGCGCATAACAACCTAGCCGCAACCTGTGAAACCCTTGAAAACCCACTTACTTTTTTGGAGGCTAAGGTAGCAGATCATGAAGATCGCGACAGACGCAACAATATTCGCCTGCGCGGCATACCAGAGGAAATCAAACCCTCTGAATTAAGAGATTATGCCATAGGCCTATTCAAGGCCCTCTGCCCAGAGCTTAGTGACGCCGACCTCTGTCTCGACCGCATTCATCGCCTGCTGCGTCCTAAATTCTTAGCAGCAACTACGCCTAGGGATGTAATTACGCGTAACCACTACTTCACTTCCAAAGAAGCAGTATTAAGAGCAGGCAAGAAACCCTGACAGCATACCAGCAGAGTTCCGAGGAGTGAAGCTATTCGTGGACCTTTCTGCAACAACCCTGGTGAAACATAAAGCATTGGCACCAATCACTCAAGCACTCCGGGAAGCAGACATCCTGTATAAATGGGGCTACCCCACACGCATCATCATAAGGCGAAATGGAGTGGAACACCAAATACAATCAGTAGACGATGGGGCCCGACTACTATGCGAATGGAATTTACGCATCGTGCCTCAAGACACGAAAGACTCAGCGAGCAGAGCTAACAAGTCACCCACAAAAATCTCTAAAGACTGGTCCACTGGGACAAGGCATAAATAACACAAGACTAATGTTAACGCATTGGGCTGAACAGCCCAGCCTAATGCATCATCTTACCACCTAGATACGTGAGCATGCTCCATGTCTGTATAATTGTTTTAAATGTTTTTTCATTGTATATGCCTAGTACGTGGTTAACAGAATACCTAGCATAACAAACACGTAGCCATCAGTTACAACCTAGGGTGGAGATGATAGATAAAATCCAGATTCCACTTACACAGAGATGGTCTATATGACATCTCACGTTCAAACCAACGCCTATATGGGCAGTTAAATACTCACAAGGTCACCCTCCCCCATTGTGGCTCCATAGGGCCGACAAAGACCTCGTTGTGGTCTGATACACAGTATCTGACCAAAATTTTGTACATAGTTCCCCAGTGGGGAGTTACCCCTTCACACCCCCGACCTCCCTCCCATACCCCACTTAATACTAAAAAATGTAGGTTGCTAGCCTTGGATACCCAATATCACGATACGGCTGTCATGGGTGAGACCGCACTACCTGACCCTGGAGTGTATAAGGCATTGGAGCAGAAGGAAGTGTCCTTCCTTGTCCCCAATCTTCAGATTTGCAACATGGGTCTCGGTATTTGCCGGGGATGGAAGGTGAGGCGGCGGCCGTCCACCCCGCTCCCTTCCCGGGTAGGCCTCAGTCTCCCCAGCCCCGGAGCGTCTCAAAGTCACCCAGAACAAGGTGCAGATTCGAGAAACACACTTTATTATTTCCACATTACACCGCAAGAAGAAGAACATCCCCACCGCATCCTCATGGCGTTGGTAGTTTTTTCACTCAAAGTCAAGGGCTTAAATACACCACACAAAAGGAGATTAGCTCTCGAGGAAGCTAAAAGGATGAAGGCCACAGTGGCTTTCTTCCAGGAAACCCACTTCCTAACCTCCAAACTGCCCAGATTCTCGTCAAAAGAATACCCGATAGGATATCACACTGGCTACTCAAAAAAGAAGAGAGGAGTCTCCATATTATTCAGCAAAGATGTGGCTTTTTCATTGCACAAGAAGATTGGGGACAAGGAAGGAAACTTCCTTCTGCTCCAATGCCTTATAAACAATGATCCATACACTTTTATAAATGTTTATGGCCCGCATGATAACCAAAAGGCGTACCTAGACAAAATCCTAACACTAGCAGACACATACCAATTTGGGACGCTGGTCATAGGGGGAGACACGAACTTTATTTTAGACGAACAACTGGATACCTCCTCTACCCTACACGTCACGCAAAAAACGAAGACTAAACGTACCGCATCCACGACCACTACCAGAACACAACTGGCCAACTCGGGTTATGTAGATATATGGAGAATCCTACACCCTTCCGAAAAAGATTTCACCTTCCACTCCCAAGTACATAACTCCTACTCAAGAATAGATAGATTTCTCATACACAACACAACAATCCCAACAATTCAATCCACCAGTATAGCGACCATCACATGGTCAGACCATGCACCGATCACCCTCACCATGGCAACTCGATTCCCTACCAAAGGACGAGGTTCATGGCGCCTAAACAAATTTTTACTACGCAACCCCCAAATTATTACGCAAATAAAAACAGAATTAGAAGCATATTTCCACACGAACGCTAGCGCAGACATTTCCATAGATATCAGGGGCCTGTTCATCAAGCATGCTAGCTACGCCAAGAAGCAAAGATTACGCACATATAATGCCCTGATACAACAAATAACTACCCTTACGCACACAAATAAAACAAACCCATCGCCAGAACATTATAACACGCTGAGAACTTTACAAGCACAATTAAATGAATTTGAACTGGACAAAACAAACCACATTCTCCAGAAGTATAAACATAAATTCTTTGCACAAGGGAACAAATCAGGCAAACTTCTAGCGTCCAAGTTAAAGGCCCGCACGGCCAACCCTAAAGTGGCATACATAATGGCACAAGGGAATAAGAAACTCATGAACCCGCAGGACATAGTAGAAGAATTTGCGCAATACTACAGCTCACTATACAATCTCAAAGATGACCCCACAACAACCACACCGACCAAAACACAAGTACGAGAATACTTAGATACAGTAACACTACCTACACTAACTCAGACAGAAATTGACACAATTACTAAGCCAATCACAACAGAAGAACTGAGGAATACAATATCGAAACTACCCCCTCATAAGTCCCCAGGCCCAGACGGTTTCACCAATCTGTACTACCAAACCTTCTTAGAAACCCTAACTCCACACCTCTCCAAGCTCCTAAACCACTACTACACTAAGGGCGAAATGCCCTCTGAAATGCTACAAGCACACATATCAACACTCCCGAAACCAGGCAAACCTGTGACGGTCTGCCAGAATTTCAGACCCATCTCTCTACTCAATTGCGATACAAAAATCTACGCAAAAATTTTAGCTAACCGCCTTCAACACATACTGACTCGCATAGTACATAACGACCAATCAGGCTTCATCAAAAGCAGACAAGGGTCAGACAACACGAGGAAGATTGTAAATATCCTAGCCCACATGGAGACACACAGAACAGAGGGCCTCCTTCTGGCATTAGACCCCGAAAAGGCCTTTGATAGGCTAAACTGGGAATACATGGAACAAGTACTTCTCAAGTTTGGCTTCCCTAGCTCATTTATCAAGGGCATAATGGCACTATATTCCAAACCATCTGCTAAAGTCACTAACACAGGCTTTATTTCGAACCCCTTCCACATCACCAACGGCACTCGCCAAGGATGTCCACTCTCACCTCTATTATTTATATTCTCACTTGAACCTCTAGTTTACAAGATTAGAACCCACACAGACATTGCGGGAATCCCCGTGAAACAGGCAGACTACAAATTGTCCATGTTTCCCTTACGATACCAGAGCACTCCCTGCCGCACCTTATGAACACATTGGAAGAATACGGCAACATTTCTTATTATAAACTGAACCAGGCCAAAACCCAAGCACTTCCCATACGTCTTCCTGCAACAACCGTACAAACGCTGAAAAAGCTGTACTCGTTTGATTGGAGACAGACCCATGTAACATACCTAGGGGTAAAAATAGCCGCCACATATAGAGGACTTAACACCTTAAACTATTCCACACTACCACACATGTGCAAACAGATCCTGCACAAGTGGAAAGATGTCATGCTATCATGGCTGGGCAGGATTAATGCCGTAAAAATGATAGTACTCCCAAAACTGCTTTATGTATTTAGGATGCTTCCAATACCTCTCTCCCCCACATTAAGCAAACAAATTCAAACGATAATAACAAAATACGTATGGGAGAACAAGAAAACCAGAATACCACTGATTCTTATACAAACGCCCACCAAAGAGGGCGGACTGGGTTTCCCTAACATATCACAGAGCAGCGATTATCGAAAACGCGATAAAACTACACGCTCCACCCCACCCGCTACAATGGGTAGATCTCGAAAACAAATACGACCCCACAGGCTCAGCGGTAAATCACATGTGGACGCCCAAACAAATGCGGAACAAACGCAAGGAACTGTTACCACTTACCAAACACTTGATACAGACTTGGGACCACCTACACCGTGCACAGAAAACAGAAAGCAAATACTCACCTTGGGCTCCCATCACGGCGCTCACCTCTGTATCGCCATGGTTGTCCCTAGATAGATGGAAGGAACTTGGGGTAACCCGTATTATGGATATATGCCACCAGGGGGCTATACTACCCTTCCCAAAACTTCAACAAACACATAAACTACCACCATCCTACATCTTCCCGTATCTCCAACTTAAAAGCCTAATTGCTAATAAGGTAACACCCCCAACGTCACACATAGGCCCCACAGACCATGACCTATTACTATTGTACGATAGGTGCCACAACTCACCGATCAAACCGAAGATGCTATCATTGAGCTACACAGCTTTAAGAAACCAAACTCCACACCCAGAGTTCAAATACCGATTGCACTGGGAAAAAGAATGCGCAATGTCCTTCACGGACAAGCAATGGACAGAATCGCTCCAAGCCCTCAAAGGAATCACCATGTGTTATTCACATGTCGAAGCACATAAAAAGCTACTCTACAGGTGGTACTACACGCCTGACAAACTCCACAGGATTTACCCCCACACCTCGGCCAACTGTTGGAGATGTGGGACGGAACGAGGCACAATGACCCATATTTGGTGGAATTGTCCGATCATTACACCCCTATGGACGGAAGTCCATGAGACATGGCAGGACTTGGGGATCAAACAACTACCACTTACACCCCAACTGACTCTCTTCCTCCAATACCCCAGCTCAATACCTTATACGGACAAACACCTGACAGTGATGATGATTCTAGCAACCCGCAACCTCATAGCGTGCCACTGGAAACAAACTGAACGCCCCACCACCACAATGCTACAACACAAAATTAGACAATACCTCCGATATGACTTGCTCACAGCTACCTCTCACAAATAAGCCTCTACCACGCTCCTTAATTGGCAAAGGTGGACAGACTGGGTGGCTCGTAAGGGGACCGCAGACGAGGCCCCAAATACTACTATAGATTGACACTATAGATTGACACCAATGACCATAGGCTGTCGACAGCCAGAATGCTCGAGGTCCGTCAATAGATCTTTAATACAACACAAGGCAACAGAATAGGGCAAATTGTAATAATAACAACGAAAACACAAAGCACAATAACAAATAGAGTAAACTAGCGTAAAAGTACTCGAGTGACAAAAGCTGCAGTACAATATAATGCACAAAAGTGCAATCAACTGCATCCTTGTACCTCTGCACCTAGGTAATCCGATAGCTCAGATCAAATATGTATATGTGCCAATATAGACTGTGTCTGTATCCATGCTTACTTAAGATGATCAAACATGCAACCTGAAAGAAATGTGTATTTGAATGTCCCCCCCTTCCCCTCCCTTCTTCCTTTCTGTACCCTAACCCCGGAATTTTTCAATAAAATAAAATACGAATTGAAAAAAAAAACAACCTTATTTGGGCCTATTGAGACTTTTGAGACAGTGCCCCTTTTAAAACTGTGTCCCTCGACTGTGAAAATACTTTGTTCGTGTCCTTTTCCTATATGGTTCGGTAATTGGGGCTTACCGAACAAATTACTGAACAGGCAGACCACACACAAGTTGAGTGTGCAGCTCATTTACCTCCCAGGCTGGTGGTTAACTGCAAGTTAATTGTCGAACGCTGGGTGGCCACCGTTCGTATAGTTGAACACATGGCGGCGGTCATCTTGTTTAGTCGAACGCGTTCAGCTGTGTTTTGCCATCGAGCTCAACTGAAATCGGATACACGACGGCACGAACACCGCTGAACCTTACCTTCTTTGCCACTTCGACGGAAATCAAAGTGCGTTAGACTATTCAAACGCACCGTTATAATGGGCTATATGCACAAATGGTGCCCGTTTGTGCATTCGAATGGGACTTAGTCCTTTTTTCTATGTGAAATAGACCGACCACACAGCCCAAATCTATGGAACTCTTTTGAGCAGGAAAGTCATGCTTGCGGTCGGTCAAATAGGACTTCCATCTATCTTTTGAACCACTGGACAAATTCGGATGATTTTCTAAATATGTTTGTTCACAGAGTATGCCGGTTCAGAAAATGTAACTCTTGTGAAAATTGCATGTATAGTTTTGAAGTTAATAATATTGTATAAAACTGTATATTTTCTTGCCTGTGATAATTAAGTTAGCCCATTGTGTTCAGTAATTATATCACAGGCAGGGTTTGTGTGCAGTATTTGGGAGTGTTTAAATATACAAGTCTGTCCTGATTGGTTTTTACAACTTTATGTTCATGTGGGTGGTAACCTTGAGGGAAAACTTGTATATAAGTGCCAATAAACCCTCAGACTGCTGAGTTCCTGTTTTACCCTCATCTCATGTGTGGGGGAAACAGCTGCATCCACACTGGGGATTGCTATACGCTCTATACTCCCCTGGCTATAATCACTAAGCTCTTTTAAAAGCTGGTTCCTGCTTCGCTATCTGAAGGAAGAGAGGTTCACCCACTGGAGCCTGGAGCCTTGTCATAGGTCCAGGTTTTGTAGGAGATGGCGAGACCCCAACCAAGCTGTGGCGGTTTGTGGGGTCTGCAGTGCTTATAGTGTCAGGGAGTGCTTGGAGCCCTCGGGAAGCATAAGGAGCATCCATCAACAGAAGGTACCCAGTCAGGGTGCCAGGCATTACGTTACAAGCTCTTCCACAGTTGCAGGAGGATTGTAGAGCTCTTCCACAGTTGTATGAGGTCTTGTCAATTCTTTAGGTGTGAGCAAAAGAAAAGAGATAACAAACAGAGAAAAGGTGTATAAATGACGCTATAAATCAATAACGTATATCCCAGTGGTCTCAAGCTACACAAGTGTTGTATCACCTAAAACACTTACATCAAATATGGAGAAACAGAGAGAAGTTGGCGCACACAATGGATATTTTTCTCCTTAATAATCTGAAATAAATATAACAGAACCTTTATAGGGCAACAAATAAAAGAAAATTTTCAGATATATGTATAACAGGAAAAACTCACAATTTGGAGAGCCATATATGTCGGGTCTCTACTAAAAAGGCAGGTGAGTAATCCCAAAACGACAAGTAGCCGCAGTGATGATGGTCCCCCAGGGAAAGAGTTGCTTCAAATCAACCTGGACAGAATTTCAGGAACCCAAAGTAGCTCAAAAACGCTGTCTATATTACATATAAAATAAATAAAGGTATAAAAAACAGTAGCACAACGTGTTTCGACCAATATACTGGTCTTCCTCAGGTGCATAAAACACAAGTACACATAACAGGTTTAAATACCTAACATATGTAAAACACATGTAAATAACAGGTTTAAATACCTAACATATGTAAAACACATGTAAATAATTGCAGTAACCCCTCCCACAATGCCCATATATGGAGGTTCCGTTTTTCTTATTACTCCTCCAAGATGGTGGCATATGGTATATTCCATTGTTATCCAAAGGGGGCTAACCTTTCCAAGATGGCAACATGAGCAGGATATCCATGAAAGTCACTTCCGGCTCACGTTGTGACGTCACTTCCGGTTCACGGTGTGACATCACTTCCGGTTTACGGCGTGACGTCACTTCCGGCTTCGTCTAATCAAGGGAAGCATTTCCAATTGTCCCAAGAACTCCAGGCATATAGTAGAAGTCCGCCATATTTAAAAAGGGAAAGGAAGAGGGCAAACACAGAGAGAGAAGGGATGCCAAGATAAATAGATCATAACCACAATAAAACATTATATATATTATAATAAATTAAATAAGATAATTAATTTAAAAGCTAATTTCAAACACATAAAACTAAATGTTTTTTCCAATACTTATATATTAAAAAAGAACTGATCTCAAACCAAATAAACCAATACAAATCACCAAAATATCTGTTTTTTCATTTACAAATTCGAGCACATGTGGAACAAAAAAGGGAGGAAAAAAAATTCTTTCTTTCTCTCCTTTTTTCTTTAAAATTGGTCCAATATCAAAATCGATATTCATTCCTTTCGGGAATAGTGTCTGGAGGTCAAAAATCCATGAACTCTCTTTTTTACTCAGGTTTAAAACTTTATCACCCCCTCTCCAATGAGTCGTTACTTTTTCTATTGCCATGAATTCTAGATCTTTGGGGTCTGAAAGATGTTTATCTAAAAAATGCTTAGAGACACTGTGATTTAAAAATCCCTTTTTAATGTTCCTAATGTGCTCTCCGATATGAACTTTTAGGGGTCTCGATGTTTTCCCCACATATTGTAAACCACATTTGCATTTTAAAAGGTAGATAACATTGCTAGAATGCAAGAGATAAAACTAGGTACTTTAAAAGACTTATTGGTAACCACAGACACAAAAGACTCCTTTTTCTTCTTATTAATAGTCGTATTTTTACAGGCAATACAATTACCGCAATGAAAAAACCCTTTTTGTTTTTTTGACCAGTCGTCTAGAAAAGTCGGTTCCTTCTCACTATCTACAAAACTTGATGTTAAAATCTGTTTCAGGTTCCTAGCACCCCTAAAAATAAATTTAGGCTTGTGGCCTATAAAATCTTTTATATCATGTTCTTGTTGGAGAATATGCCAATTTTTATTAATAACCCTCTTTAAGGTACCAATATTAGTGCAATAGTTAAAAATAAAAGGGATTTGATTCTCTTTCTCTGTTTCCTTTTTTACTTTGTATTTAAGCAATTCTGACCTATTAATTAAATTAGCATTTGTAATGCTATCATTAATGATTTCTTCCTTATAACCCTTTTGTACAAATTGATTTTTCAAGAGGGAAGATTGGTTCTGAAAATCAATTTGTTCAGAACAGTTTCGTTTTAAGCGTAAGAACTGTCCCTTGGGTATATTCCGTAGCCACGGATCATAATGACAGCTTTTTATATCTATAAAACTGTTAATATCTACCTGTTTAAAAAAAGTTCTCGTTTTAATTTGGTTATCATCAATAAAAATATTTAAATCTAAAAAATCTATAGATTTTTTACTAATATTTTCACTTAATTTAATACCCCAATTGTTAGAATTAAGATCATTAAAAAATAGGTTAAAATCTCTTTCAGTTCCTTTCCATATTATAAAAATATATCAATGTATCTTTTATAGAGGACCAAGTTTGCCCCATATTCATGTCCCTGATATATAGAAGATCTTTCCCAAAATGACATGAATAAATTAGCCTAACTTGGGGCAAACTTGGTCCCCATAGTTGTTCCACAGATCTGAAGATAACAATAATTATCAAACCAAAAGTAGTTATTCATTAAAATCATTAAGATTCCTTTAGTTAAAAATTCTATTTGTGCTTCTGTAAGTTCTCCAGATTGTTTTAAATAAAACTCTGCAGCTTCTAGTCCTTGTCTGTGTTTAATAATAGTGTACAGACTGGTTACATCGCATGTAATTAAAAGGTACTCCTCTTGCCATACAAAATCATTTAAAAGATTTAAAAGGGACATTGAATCTTTCAAATAGGCTGGACAAGTTTTTACAAGGGGTTGAAGAAAGAAATCTATATACTGCAATAACTGTGTTAATATAGAGTCAATTCCTAAAACAATAGGTCAACCCCGGTGGGTTTACTAAACTTTTGTGAATTTTAGGTAGACTATAAATAACAGGTATTCTTGGATGCTCTACTTTAAGAAAATTGTATTCTTGCTCATTCAAAACGTCATTCGCTATTCCTTCTTTTAATAAGTCTTCATATTTATTCTTTATTTCCATAATTGGATTTTTGTTTAATTTAGTGTATGTACTGATTTCGCTTAACTGTCGTCTTATTTCATTGAGATAATCATCTTTATCTAAGATGACAACTCCGCCCCCCTTGTCAGCTGGCTTAATTACAATTCAGTTATTTTGTTTTAATTCTTTAATCGCTTCTCTTTCTTTAAAAGTGAGATTTTGATTATATTTAGTAAGTGGTTTGATCTTGTACAGTTCATCTAGACAAACTTTTTCAAAAACTTTCATATTTAGAGTTTTTAAAAATTGGGGAAAAAAGTTGATTTTTTTCTTAAAATCTGAATGTTTGGTAAGACTTGTGATCTCATTTGGTGTTTTTTGTATATTGTTTTTAAAACAAATTTTAAGACAAAGTTTTCTCGTGAATCTATTAATATCTATAAAAGCCTCAAATTTCTTTATGGGGCAACTTGGTGCATACTTAAAACCTTTAGTTAAAATTTTTGTTTGAGCAGAAGATAAAATGACTTTGGATAAATTAAAAATCTTTATTTCATTATTATCTTTTTCTTTTTTTGATTTATCTCTCCCTCCTCTATTTCCTCTTCTATTAATCTTTGTCTTTTCTGTGTTTTGAACAGCTCTTCTCTTCTCCATCTCTGGTCTAAAAAAACATTTTCCTCACATTCGCTTCTAAGTCTCTCGTATCTATTTTTAGTTGGGATTTGAAAAGGTATTTACGTCAAGCTCTATTAAATCTTCCTTCCTTTGAGTGATAATAATGTTAATCATGGTAATTGAAAATTATTCTAACGCAGAGATCCAAATCCCCATAAATTTCTCCTTTTCCAAATCAAAGGTAGGGAACTTAGTAAACCTTAGTCCTCTTGGTGTAATTTTATCTTTAAAATATTTCTCAAGTGTAAACACCTCCCATTTCATTTTTATTTCTCTACTTAATAATTTTTCTAATTGATTAATCTTAAGGTCTAAATTATCACTTAGAATCAGTGCTTCTTCTACAATTGGCTCATCACACATAAACTTCTGTATTGTGGATTTAAACCAATGATTTCTTGCTTCAAATAGCGACATATATTAGACAAGCAGCATATAACACCAGGTGATAGAAAAATAGATAACAAACAGAGAAAAGGTGTATAAATGGCACTATAAATCAAATAATAACGTATATCCCAGTGCGTCTCAAGCTACACAAGTGTTGTATCACCCAAAACACTTACATCAAATATGGAGAAACAGAGAGAAGTTGGCGCACACAATGGATATTTTCCTCCTTAATAATCTGAAATAAATATAACAGAACCTTCATAGGGCAACAAATAAAAGAAAATTTTCAGATATATGTATAACAAGAAAAAGAGTTATATAAGTCGGCTCTCTACTAAAAAGGCAGGTGAGTAATCCCAAAACGACAAGTAGCTGCAGTGATGATGGTCCCCAAGGGAAAGAATTGCTTCAAATCCACCTGGACAGAATTTCAGGAACCCAAAGTAGCTCAAAAAGCCTGTCTTTATTACATATAAAATAAATAAAGGTATAAAAAACAGTAGCACAACGCGTTTCGACCAATATACTGGTCTTCCTCAGGTGCATAAAACACAAGTGCACATAACAGGTTTAAATACCTAACATAGTTAATAACAATGTAAAACACATGTAAATAATTACAGTAACCCCTCCCACAATGTCCATATATGGAGGTTCCGTTTTTCTTATTCCTCCTCCAAGATGGTGGCATCTGGTATATTCCATTGTTATCCAAAGGGGGCTGACCTTTCCAAGATGGCAACATGAGCAGGATATCCATGAAAGTCACTTCCGGCTCACGTTGTGACGTCACTTCCGGTTCGTTTATTTTGTTTATTTTGTTTATTTTGCTGTTGATACAAAAGAAGGCAAAAAAAACCAGTTTGAAGCACTTCCAATTTTGCAACAAACAAGGAAAAAAAATCCTTCTTGACCCCAGAATGGCAGTTAGATGTATCCTTGGATCAAGCAGCTATTACCCTACATTGATAGATTATATCCTTGAATATTCTGTTTTTGCAAGTATGCATCTATTTGAACATGGTATGGACTCTGATAAAACGACTTCTTCAGTCAGAGAATTCCACATCCATAGCAATCTACAAACTGGAGATAGGACAGAAAGGAGATGGGCTTTAGCTCAGTATAAGGGGGTGGAGATGGGGGGAGCGGCAAGCTCAGAAAAGAGAAGGTATGTAATGTTGATAATTCACAAAAAGGACAAGTGACTCATAATATTAAATGTATGCTTACTAATGTAAGGAGCCTAAATAACAAAATGGGAGAACTAGAGGCAATAGCATACACTAAACAATTTGACATAATAGGCATATCTGAAACATGGTAGGATGAGACATATAACTGGGCAGTTAACTTAAATGGATACATGTTATTTAGGAAGGATAGGAAAAACAAGAAGGGGGGTGGGGTATGTTTGTATGTCAACTATGAGTTAAAGCCAAATCTTAAGCAAGTGGAATGTGATGAGGAAAATATGGAAGCTTTATGGGTAAATATCTGCTTGGGGGAAAAGAAGGGAAATCTACTATTGGTTGGGATATGTTATAAACCACCTAATATTAATATTGACGAGGAACAACAGCTGTTTGAGCAAATTAAGAAAGCTGCAAATCTGGGTAACACTTTAATTGTTGGAGATTTTAATTACCCATACATAAATTGGGACAGAGGGACTAGTAGCTCAGCAAAGGGAATTAAGTTTTTAAACTTGTTAAATGACACCTTTATGTCACAACTTGTACAAGCACCAACTAGAAAGGACGCTTGTCTGGACCTGGTTTTAACAAACAACGTTGATCTTTTGACCAACATTCAAGTAGGTGAGCACTTGGGAAATAGTGATCACAATATAGTGTCCTTTGAAATAAACTCAAAAAAATAAAAGCACATGGGGGATACTAAAACATATAATTTAAAAAAGGCCGATGAATGAATACCCTTTTTCATGCATGACAATACCTAACTGGCCTTAGCCACTGCTGATTGACATTGCACATTGTTGATAAGTTTGTTGTCTATAACAATTCCCAAGTCCTTTTTGTGTGTTGTTATCCCTAATTCGCTTCCATTAAGGGTATACGTTGCTTGTGCATTCTTTACGTCGAAGTGCTTAACTTAGCATTTTTCAACATTAAATTTAATCTGCCATCTGAGTGCCCAGTCCCCCAGTCTATCTAAATCCCTCTGCAGCAAAGTAATATCTTGCTCGCATTGTATTACTTTACAGAGTTTTGTGTCATCTGCAAACACTAAAATATGACTTTCAATGCTTTTTTCAAGATCATTTTAAAATATGTTAAATAGAAGGAGTCCCAGAACAGAACCCCGAGGGACACCACTTGCCACCTCTGTCCAGCTTGAAAATATACCATTAATGACAACTCTTTATACTCTATTTTTAAGCCAATGTTGTACCCAAGAACAATCATTTACATCTAGACCGATTTCCTTGGTTCTGTTGTGTGGAACCAAATCAAATGCCTGGGCAAAATCCAAATAGATCACATCCACTACAACACCCTGATCTAAACTTCTACTTACTTCTTCATAGAACGCAACCAAGTTTGTTTGGCATGATCTGTGCTTCATAAAACCATGCTGATGTTCTTCTCAAGGAATTCTTGAATATTATGCCTTAATAACCTTTTAAATATTTTCCCAGCCACAGAAGTTAAGCTCACAGGTCTATAATTTCAAGGCAAGGATTTTGAACCCTTTTTGAATATAGGAACCACATGTCACGGTTCTCACCGCAGTAGACAGACGGCCAGACGTGGTCGCCCAAGGAGTTCCCAACAAAGGATTTGAACCGGGGAACTTCGCAGTCCAGGTCCTGCTTCCTACCTCTGAGCCACAGCAGCTTTTATATTCCACAAGTCATTCCAGTCCTGTACATCCTGGCATGTCTGTTACTCTGGGGGCTGTACCTTGACTTTAGCTGTGCTTCACCTGACTCTGATCAGTCATCAGCAGGGTATTTAAACTCAGCCTCGCCCTGTGTTCAGCATCAAGTCTTTGATCCTGTTGTGTGTTTTGTACCAGTGTTCCTGTTGTTTGATCTGCTACTTATTATTGACCCCGGCTTCTGACTACGTTTACTCTGACCTTTGGCATCTCTTGACTTCGGCTACTCCTTGTTGTTCCTGTACTCTGGCATCCTTTGACCTCGGCTATCCCTTGACGATCTTGCTGTTTGAGTCCTTGCCTGTCCTACAACTTGGTACTTCATCCTGCACAGACCCACAGGCCGGATGAATTCTTACCTGACCACCTTGGCCTGTGGCTATCTGCAAGGGTGAGCAACATATCTGCGCTACAGACTGCCAACCCAGGTAAGACCCTGACACCACATCTGCCTTCCTCCAATTCTCTGGAACACTTCCTGAAAGAAAATAATCTTGAAAAATTAAAAACAGAGGTTCACTTATTTCTACACTTAGTATATTAAGTACTTGTGGATGAATACCGTCAAGCCCTGGAGCTTTGTTTATATTAATTTTCTTTAGTTACTGCAGCACCTTGTCTTGAGTTAACCAATAACAATTATTCTGCAAATTTTTTGCAGCAATCATTTGCACATCTATTGCCATGGGTTCTTCCTTAATATATACGTAGGAGAAATTGTTATTTAAAATTCCTGCCTTCATTAACTAACACCCCCTTTCAGTTTTTAGTGTACCTACACTTTCAGGTTTTTTTTTTGTTTTTTTTATACTTTATTTACTTAAAGAATGCTTTGGGGTTGGTTTTGCTCTCTTTGGCTATCATTTTTTTTTCATTTTGAAGTTTAGCTAATCTAATTGCCTTTTTGTACGCATTATTGGCTTCCATATATCTTTTATAGGATGCATCTGATTTGTCCGATTTAAATGCCATTTTCTTATTTTTAATCTTGTGTTTTACGTCTCTACTAAGCCACATTGGTTTCTATTTATTTTATATTCATTACCCAATGGTACATACTTAGAAATGTACCTTTCTAATATTTGTTGGAGGATGTTCCATTTATCCTCAGTGTTCCTTTCACTAAAGAGTTTATGCCAGTCAATATATTGTAAAGCTGTCCTTAACTTCTAGAAATTGGCCTTTTTTAAATTATGTTTTAGTATACCCCATGTGCTTTTGTTTTTTTGTTTATTTCAAAGGACACTATATTGTGCTCACCTACTTGCATGTCGGTCAAAAGATCAACGTTGTTTGTTAAAACCAGGTCCAGACAAGTGTCCTTTCTAGTTGGTGCTTGTACAAGTTTTGACATGAAGGTGTCATTTAATGAGTTCAAAAACCTAATTCCCTTTGCTGAGCTACTATTTACTTTGTCCCAATTTATGTCCGGGTAAATAAAATCTACAATAATTAAAGTGTTACCCAGATTTGCAGCTTCCTCAGTTTGCTCAAACAGCTGTTGTTCCTCATCAATATTAACATTAGGTGGTTTATAACATATCCCAGCCAATAGTTGATTTCTCTTCTTTTGCCCCAATAAGATATTTACCCATAAAGCTTCCACATTTTCCTCATCACATTCCACTTGCTTAAGATTTGGCTTTAACTCATGGTTGACATACAAACATACCCCACCACCCTTCTTATTTTTCTTCGAAAATAACATGTACCCATTTAAGTTAACTGCCCAGTCATGTGTCTCATCCCACCATGTTTCAGTTATGCCTATTATGTCATATTGTTTAGTGTATGCTATTGCCTCTAGTTTCCTAATTTTGTTATTTAGGCTCCTTGCATTAGTAAGCATACATTTAATATTATGAGTCACTTGTCCTTTTTGTGAATTATCAACATTACATACCTTCTCTGTTCTGAGCTTGCCCCTCCCCCCCGTCTCATTGTATCATTGTTGGTCTGTCTTCCTCAATAGCTGAAGTCAAATTGTCTAGAAAAATTCTCTTTGGAACTATAGTTGTAATAATGTTCCCTTTTTTTTTAAATCCTTTTTAATTGAGAGATCTAATCCACGTGATCTGGCAGATCTCTTGCCTATCACTGGAAACTAAGCTGATTATTTGACCCAAGCCCCCCAAAAAACAACAAAGACAACCAACAAACAAACAAACAGATTCTTCTGCATAGCATCCACCATGGTGCCAGGAATGGCACTGCAAATCAAGAATAAAAATTAGCATGGCTTGAGAGACTCAGTTTCCCTGAGAATCTGGCCCCAAGTAGCTGATCAGTCTCAATAAATCTGAATGGAAGTTTGGCCCAAAACTAACATACAAGTCTAATATACAGTATCTTTAGACTTGCTTTGCAGTAAACAATCCACTTGTAAAACTGTCTGTTGTAAATGTATCTGTCATGTTAGTATTATGAAATCCAAAGTGTAGTACTTGCAAAGGTAGGCAAAGTAATAAAATAAAGTCCAATCAAACAAATCCAGAAAGGTCAAGGCAAACGCAAGGTCAGGCAGTCCAAAGATCAAATATTAATGCGGCAAAAGGTCAGAAGTGAAAGTGTAAACCAAATGTCAGGTAATCCAGAAATAACACAGAAGAGCAGAAATAGCAAAGGTAGTTTGCAAGAAAGTAGCACAGAACTGAGCAATGATAGCTCAGCTGTTTACAATTTAAGTACCTTGCCTAACAATAGACACATCTATTAGAGTATAAGCTGTCAGTATCTGGGTTTCTCATGGGAGGTAATATGTTCCATCCGCGATCATAGGGCTGTCCTGCAGCATGGAACAATCAAGCACATATCCCAGGCGTCTATCGCTACCTAGGAGAAGTGACGCAATCAGAGTTTGTAGGTCGCCGGTCAAGCAGCAAGAGAATGGAGGTAATTCAAGACAGTATCTATGTAGCTTTCTTTTTTTGAGCACAAATGCTTACATCTGATAAGTGTAATAGATTTCTATATAGAATAAGAAGTTAGTTGCAATTTACATGTTTGCAAATAGAACAGCAAAACAGGTGATGAATTATAGCATCAGCTGTTTTATAACAAAAATGTCCAGCAAAGTGAATCATTAATCCTACCATGTACTATTTAAAGCTTAGTGGCTATAATACATTTAACCCCTTTGGGAAATGGGCAATTGTACAAGTTCAAATCATAACAAAACCTAGAAATTGCATTATATGTCTGTTGCACCCATACTTATTATTATATAAGTATTATATATCATTTTGTTTGTTTAGGAGAAACATGACTTTCCTTGCACATCACATATTCTTATATGAAACATAGTTTAATATGAATAAAATCTAAAAATGTTTGAGAAATTAATATATATATATATATATATATATATATATAATTTCTCAAACATTTTTAGATTTTATTCATATTAAACTATATATATATATATACACACAGTGGTAATCAAAATTATTCAACATTTATTTACAGACTTTCAGCTGTTTGCAATGAACAAATCAAACAAAGGCAATTAAAATATCTCAACACAAATTTAACTAAAATGCAGCTTATAATGACTTCTCCATTATTCAACCCCCTGAATAGAATCCCTCACAACAGCACCAATATATGCAAAACAGGTGTTGTCTCAAGCATACCTGATGCAACTAATCAAGGGCTTCATTAGTTGCACCAGGTGTGCTTGAGCTGGAACACTTTAAATACCTGAACTGGCTAGGGGGTTTGTTGAGTGTCACATTTGGCTGAATGTTAGAAATACGGCTAAGCCAAAAGGATGGTCCACAATGTTAAGAGGTCATTGCCCTTCACAAATAAAAAACAGGATACAAAATATAGCAAAGGCACTGAATGTTCCTAGAGACACTGTTGGAAGCATAGTTTGTACGTTCAAAGTTGAAGGAACAGTGGTTACATTCCCTGGATGCAGAAAAAGGAAACTATCAATGGCTGCACTAGATATCTGAGAAAGCAGGTTGTGAAAAACCCTCAAGTGACTACAAAAGACCTCCAGCAAGACTTAGTGACAACATGCACTGAGGTTTCAGTGTGCTATGCCAGAACTCCAAGATGTACACTACTACTTACCCAAAAGCACAAGAAATGCTGGCTCCAAAATCCTCAATCGTATAAATATGCCACAGAAGTTTAGGGATTCTGTTCTGTGGAGCAATCAGGCAAAACTGTAACTCTTCGGCACATTGGTTCAGCGTTATGTCTAGAGGAAGAAGATTGAAGCTTATGTTGAAAATATCACTTTGCCTACAGTTAAATATGGTGGTGGCTCGGTGATGCTCTGGGCCTGCTTGCATCCTTTGGCACTGGAAACCTGCTGTATGTGGAAGGCAAGATGGATTAATTGAAGCATCAGGAAATCCTAGGAGAAAACCTCATGCTGTCTGTGAGGTAGCTGAAGACAGGGCGTCATTCGAGCTTCTAATAAGACAATGATCCCACGCATACCTCAAATTCCACCAAGGCTTAGTTGCAGAAGAAGTCCTGTAAAATTCCACAGTGGCCATCATAGTAACCTTACTTAACCCCTTAAGGACACATGACATGTGTGACATGTCATGATTCCCTTTTATTCCAGAAGTTTGGTCATAAAGGGATTAAACCTCATACAAAATCTCTGGCGGGATTTGAAGAAGGCAATTGCCGATTACAAACTCAAGAATATTATTGAACTGGAGGCCATTGCTCATGATTCCTCAGGAACACTGCAGGAAGCTGGTGTCTGGATATACATCTTGCTTGAAGCTGATCATAACAGCAAAAGGGTGCTCTACTAAGTATCAAAGATGCTTGCCATGAAGGGTTTGAATCATTTTGAGACTGGAGAAGTCATTTTAAGTTGCATTTTCAGTATAATTCAGGGAAACCACTTGAAGCAATCGTTGCATATATATATGTTTTGTATGGTGCATTCAATAATTACTAACAAGTTATGTTCTTTTGTTTATTTTCCTTTACAGCTCTGATTACTCTAACTGGAATCTGCATCTACATTGCATATTCTGCATCTGCATTAGAAAATGCAGCTTGTCTCTTAAGTTCTGAAATACTTGAAGATATCGATATACGGTTTGGCTGGTCTTTGGCTTTGGCATGGATTTCCTTCATTACAGAGGTTCTTACTGGAATTGCGTTTCTTTTGGCTGCCCGAATTACTGGTCTAAAACGAACTAGAGACGGAGCAGATATAAAATGATATCTGGGCTAAATTTTTTGCAAGTATTACAACTCTTATAAAAAGCAGCTTCATTTGATTCCTGATCTAAAAGTCTGTTTCACACCAACACAAGTTAAACTTTTTTTTTTTTTTTGCATAGTCAAACAGTTCTGCTAGAATACCTGCATGTTTTAAAGCTTTAGCCTGAGAATCTACCATTCCATTTTTTTTTCTCCACATTGGGAGGTAAAGTGTTAATGCTTTAACTACATAGCTGCTGTCAATGATTATATTCACTGTGTCAAATGCTGTTATTTCTTGATCTTTCTTTAAGGACTCTAATTCAGCTATCTGAACAGACATTTCTTTTGTTTGATCATCATATATGGCATAACCTGTGTGATGTAATCCATCAACATAAAATCTCATTCCAACCACATACAAACAAGGAGCACCTTTTATTACTTGTTTTTTAAAAGGAGATTTGGATTCGATTTCCAGTTCTTTTTGACAATAATGTGGCAGTCCCTGTATTTCCATCAAATTGGAATAAAATGTATTTTACTGGTTTCTACCCTGAGTTGTTTATCTTGTAACTTCAATATCCAATGAGCTACCCTCTGGCTATGTACTCCTAAATCAGAACAATTTTTAACATTTTTTTTAAAGGTGTGTGGGGGATTTATAAAATGATCTGTCCAAATCCTACAATGTGTTGTGTTGCTTCTAAAACCCAACTTACAGCCATGATCTGTTTTGCGCAGGAAAACATTTCCCTTTCCACTGGATACATAATTTTAGAAAAATATCCCAGTATTTGTAAAGAGCCATGTTACCTTTGCATCAAAACTGCTATTAATGAAGAGACACCTGCTAAACCTTGAACAATATATGGTATTGTGTCGATGGGAGCAGCTAGCACAGGCGCTTGTGTGAGAGCATTTTTTTTTTAAACAGGTTCCAACTGTTTTCAGCTTCCTTTTGTCCAGAGTAGCTTATCTGTATTGGCATTATCTTTTAGCATATTGTACAAGGGTTTTGCTCTTATATTGTTTTTCTGCAGGGGGTCTAGACCTACAATTACAATTTGTAAAGTCATTCTCCCACAATCTTGTTTAGACTTAGACCATACTGTGGGGTATTTTAATGTAAGATATTTTACAACCTCATCACAAATTCAGTAACACTCTTCTTATGTTATTCTTTAGATATAGCAGACGGTTCTGTGTCAGTAACCAAATTCCATGCCTTATTCCAGGGGTAGGCAACCTACGGCACTAGTGCCATGCACGGCACTCGAGGTGTCTTTGCAAGGCTGCTAGAGCCAAACAGGCTCTGGCCTATCAGGAGTCCCAGTAAAACTTAAGATATCTGCTAATCCGAAAAGGTAGTGAAGGACAATCCTCAATTTATGCATTGCAGCACGTAGAGGTAGTGATCTCAGATCACTTCCTCCCAGCACTTGTGAATAGGAATCCACACTGAAGTAGAGCAGCTCGCAGTTGCTGTTGCAGCTCCTATCCTTGACATGTACCTGGCCGGCCTAGTCCCCACTGGAAGCCACCCATACTGCTAGATATACACAGAAATGCAGAATAACCCTCCCCTCATACAAATAATACGGACAGCCCACACACAAACATGCACTCAATCCGCACAAATGAAACACCACTAACAATCCACATACATGCACACAACCCCATATGCAATACCCCAAACAGCCCCCACACACTACCAAACACACACTGTGACATATCCATCCACACACACAATTCCACAAGCAGCCCCCATACATAGCCCACATTCATATATATCATACACAATACCATAACCTACTCATGAACATATACAATATAATAGCTCATATACGCAGGGCCGTCTTTAACGTGGGGCAAACTGGCCAGCTGCACCGTGAGCCCTGCTGGCCTTAACTATTTCTAACCCTCATGCCGGTAATCCGCACACTAAGGAGGCCCACCAGGTGGCCCATACACAAAGGACCACCCGGTGGGCTTCTGACAGCCGCGCATCACTTCCTCCCACAAAAAGAGGAGCACATGGGAAAGAAGAGTAGGCAGATTGGCGGGGGCTGGCCGAGAGCGCTAGACCCCAACTCCCAACACTTCAGCCACCAGCAGGAAAGGGAGGAAACTGCAGGGTGGGTTTTAAAGTGTATGTCTGTCAGTGTGTGTGTGTGTGTCAGTGTATCTGTGTGCGTGTGTAAGGAAATCTGTGTGTCAGTATGTTTGTATGTCAGCATGTCTGTGTGTGTGCGCGCATTTCAGTGTGTGTGTGTGTGTGTATATGTGCATACATCTCAGCATTCACACACTAACACTACACACAAATACACCCCTGCATTCAAATTTCAACACTACGTACAAACACATGTCTGTGTTACAAACCAAAATTATATGTAAATACACCGCTGCATTCAAAAACCAACACTACACAAATACATGCTTGCAATCACGCCAACACATACAAACACATTCCATACAAAAACCTGTTTACATTCAAACACACAAAAACTGCTAAGTGCTAAACACAGACCGGCAAACATGGGTAAATGGTAGAGCCCCAGCTGTCAATGCATTTCTGGAGTTGCACGACAGATGGGGATCTACCTTTTAATCACCCGTGCAACAGGGAGACCCCCAAAAATTCTTGCACCTCTCTACTTTAGGTTCGCCACTGCGTTGAGGTGGAGGATGTGATTGCATGCCTGAGGAGGGGGGACAGGGTCCAGGGGGCCCCAAGCAAATGCTTTGCCCAGGGTCCAGTCACTATTAAAGAAGGCTCTGCATATACGCACAAATACAACGATACAAAGCAATTACAGTAAAAATAACACAAGCAGAATACGGCAGCATACACCTCTCAATTAAAAAAAAAAATAGGACCGGCACACTACGGGACATCACAATCCTATATCGGCACAGTGCTGCTAAAAGGTTGCCTACCCCTGCCTTATTTCATAAATTAGCACAAACATGTATATCATAATTTTTCTCCATTTTAAATTAATCAAGAATAGAATATACAAATCTATCCACACCAGTTGCACACTGTACAACCATTAGCAATATTTGGGTATTATTTGGAAACAAGTCCTCCACTTCAACTCTGGGCTTTTCACTTGCCTTATCCATCCTCCAACACATCAATTAGTTAATATTCAACCCATTCATTTAATGAGGCTGGCTGCCAGATCAAAACACCTCTTGTGGCTACCACATCATCAAATTTTGTTTTATTCATTTCACCTTCAGAACCACTCATATTGTAAAAAGGTCCCCTCTTCTCATCATATTTAATAAAATCTTTAATCACTTTGCCTAATTTCCGATATCCATCTGACCCCTTCTTTGCACATTTTACAATTTCTTTTCTAGTTCACTTCTCTCATGCCCCTTCACAACTTCTGCACCATTTTATTATCAACTTCTACTTTCAAAGTAAAATCCAAATCTTTCTGATTTTTCCCACAAAATATCTATAGCATTCCCCAGATTAGCAATCTGTTTTTGCAATTTGTCAAAATGAGTAACATTTAAGTTTAATTCCTAGACATGTGAGGCATTGTTTTATGGGTTCTGTCTAACAGATCAGTCTGATTCTTAAACATTTCTTTCATTATATTAAAATCTTCACTTCTTCAACATGATTTATCCTTTCAACAACTGCCGAGAGTCTTCTATCTGAGTTTTTGTTTCAGCTAACTTGCATCCAATGCACTATCAAAAGAGAGCCTTGGGGGCAATCTCCCTTCTGTTAACAACTTTTGAGGAAATTTCACAGTTTTGCTGGGGGGGAGTTAGGGAAATTACTAGCCCTTGAAACAACACATATATGTTTCAATGTACATTTCTTTTTTTGTTTCAATGTATTATTATAACAATTACTGTTTTTTTTTAAGTTGTACCATTCATTCATAGCATCATTAGTTTCCAGAAAGCCCTTTGCAAGTAATGCAACTTTTTGACTTTCCTTTTTAAACACATTGCTTTGCTCAATATCACTTAATCTGTATCTTATCTCAAGTATTTTCAGGATTAACCCTTTTACAGACAGATCTCTGTTACATTTGGTAGCAGTCTTTTACAGCAACTTCCATGATTAACTAAAGAGTTAAAACAATTTTTTTTAACAAAAACAATATACATATGAGCAACTTTCTACAGATGCGATACAAAAGACATATACCCTTTGAAGTATTTTGGTTTCCACAGATTTGCGCATTATCAGATGGAAGAATACTTTTTGGAGTATGTAGCTATTTTTGAGAATCCTCCGCAAATGCAATATTAGATCTGCAAGTGGTCATGAATTATTTCTTATAATCATGGATAAAAAGGATCCGGCTTCTTTTCTCAATTAATTATCTTCAAATTCCTCCAGTACTTGGTACAGCAACCATGTTCAAACGATTTCCTCCTACTCACCTCTGCCTTTGCATTGTATCTCTGGAATGTTTAAACAAAGGATCCTTGGGATGCCGTCAGTTCAGTCACACATGTTTCTCCTGTTTCAAGCTGGGTACTAAAACTTTTAACAGGGAACAATTTGAACTTATCTTCAGTGATCCTCTTGTAATCCTCCCATCTTCTTGTAGCAAAATCTTTAGACACTCAGTCCGCAATAAGTCAGACGTAAATCCTGCTTTCCTTAACCCCTTAAGACCGGAGGGCGTACAATTACGGCCTATTTTAGGCGGCTCTAAATGACGCCGGGCGTAATTGTACGCCCTCCGGTCTTTCTTTACTTACCCGGTCGCCGGCAGTCCCACGCCGGCGATCGCGGTGGGGGGGACTCCCAGGGAGCCCCCCCACGGTAGTTCCTCCTCCTCCGGTGCCCCCTGGCCATGTGAGAGTGAGGTCCTTGCGAGGACCTCACAATCACATGGCTGGGTTAGCTGGCTTCTGTATTGCCAGCAGGGGGGCTGCCTGTAATTACAGGTGGTCCCCCTGCTGGCTGGAAATAAAATAAAAATAAATTAATTAAGTGTAAAAAAAAAAAAAAAAAAAAATATATATGTATTAAGGCAATTTGCCTGCATTTGTGGGAGGTGCTGGTTTTCCACCCCTAGCCTACTTAAGGCACTCCCCTTGCCTGGCTCCTTACTGTTCGAGGTCAGCGTTGAATGAGGATCCACTTCCGGGTTCTCTCAGACGCCATCTTGGTTTCAGTATCCAGGAGGTTTCACCACGTTAAGCTGTGTCCAGGAATCCTGTTCAGGCCTTTCCGCCCGTCCAGCTTCTTCTGACTCCGTTCTCCGTCGTAGATCGCGTCCCAGGGACTCCTAAACCGTAAGTCAGACCTTCCTGTCACGCCAGGACTGGTTCCCACGGCGTACGGTACAGCACGGGTCCTCGCTTTACGGCTTTTCCCTGGTTATGACACGAATGTTTTCAAGCCATTCGCGGGCTTTTCATTTCGTACGGTCATTCGGCTGAACATGTTTTAAATCGTTCAATAGTCATTTCGCATATCCTATTCATGTTATTTAAACGAATGTTCATTCGGTTGTTTTGCCGTTCGGCAAATTTTACATACGCTCACACACGCTTTGGTTCGCATAAATCATACGGTTAAACTATTCTAACTTCTGTGTTCCCCTCACATTTGCTTTCGGCTGTTCTGTGTGTTCACGTATAATCCTTTCATGAATTATATTCACCATTTCATGTGTATATAACATTCGGTTAAAGTATTACTTGCTTAAATAGATTATTGTTGATTACTTTTAACAAATTGTCAGTATTGTATTACGTCCACAAATCAAGTCCACTTCTCTGTGTATACCATGTGACTCCCACGCTTTCAGGGGTCTGCATTACTTATCCATTTATACGAATGGACTCAGCCATGTTACAAGCCTCATTTCTGGGTTATTAATACAACACATACAAGGATAGGTTCATTTAAGCAATAATTCTCGGGTTGATACGTCTTTGCTATACATACATATCATATAGATATACATCACTTTACATCATTTTAAATCATTTTGGGGTATCCCTGCCTTTGGTTATTCTGCTACATATCATACATAACGCTGTGTTAATTAGGCCATGACCTCATCCATGTCCCTTTCTATAAAACCAGTTACATTTCGGTACAGATCATTGAAC